TTTTACGAAGTTCCCTATTTAACGAAATAATTAGCGCGTCCTGGTGACTTTGTTAAATCGAGGTTCAGCTGTAGTTCTTGCGTACGCAAAAGGACTGCTTGTTTTGGCAAGAAGACGGAGTTAATGTAATTACTTAAACATGTTGCTTTCTCAGTAATTATTGGAAAAAACCTGATTAGTAGTATCGTGTAGAATCTCGTTTATTCCTGCATACTTTGTCTGGTTCCCTTCGTATATTGCCGAAAACGTTTTGGAGTTGGTTTTTTTTCTTCGATTAAGCCTTTCGAAGTATTGTTCTTTTGCGCTTTTCACTTTTGATTTGTATTCACGCATTACATCAGATAGTCTCTGACTGATTTTTTTTTTTGTTTTCTTACATTGCACGAATGCTCCTGTTTGTTTTTTCAAGTATATTCTTATTTATTTATTCATAATACCTTGAAGGTCCATTTCTGGACATTACACAAGGGGGGGATTTGGTCAAATTGCAGTATAGTCAACACTTAAAAGAAGAAAAAAAAGAACAGTACCAACAGGATAGCAATATCACAACTGAAAAACCACTTTAACAAAATTATGTATTATACAAATTGTAGGGTCCAAGCACATATAACATTTCATTATCTGGGCAAGAAGATCACTGTAAACGAAAACTAATTAGTACTTAAAAAATCTAAAGCAGCTACTCTGAACGCTGTAGGGTCGGAAAGTGCAATTATGGGATCAGGAAGAGAATTCCAATGCATGATTGCGCGTGGTAGTGAGGAGTTATTAAACGGAAATGTATGACCAAAAATGTGCTTATAACTTTGGCTGTTAGTTGAGCAACGAGATGTTTGCTTAGGAGGCTCAAGCAGGGGGGCGTTAACGTTAGGGTTAGAATAGCGTGATTTATGAATGATGCATAAAAGGGCAGCGGTTACTTTAAGTGGTTGTAAGAGGATAGAGTTTTTAAGAAAGGAGACACTAGCTTGGTGAGAGTAGGCTGACATTATAAAAGGAACTGCACGATTTTGGATGCTTTCGATCTGATTGATAAGGTATTTCTGGTGGGGGTTTCATACAGCGGAAGCAAATTCAAGTACATGGCGAACGTATGTCTCGTACCCTAACTTGCGAAGATGGGGGGGTGCAGAGAAAAGATTGCAGCTGATAAGAAATGTGCACTGATCAACTGATTGGAAGTGACATCTGGAAACTCCCTCAGTCAGACGTCTCCGAGACGGCACGCACGTGCAAAGGACCAAGGTTGTCGCACACGTGAAGAACACGTGCAAGAGGAATGACTCGGCGTTTTTCACCAGTAGCAGGCCTCGTGTAGCCGAACGCAGATACAAAAACAGCCGAACGCGTCTTTGAATTGGCATTCTTCCCTAATGCGGCATTGGCATGTGCGTAGCTGCACACGTACCAAAGTGTTTACATCGACTGCACAAATCGGTTTCTTTACCTATCGCGCTACGATTTCATGCAGCATTGCCCACAGGTGGTGCATTTCTTCTAGAAAATTTGCGAAGATAGAACTTGCCTTTGGAAAAAGTAAAGAAAGAAAAAGGCTCCAATGGAAATGCAGCGAAGCCTTCCAACCATAGGGGGGGTCCTGTTGTTTGAAGACTGGTTGCTTTGCTGCGTTTCCATAGACCTTTTACTCTTTCCTCGGGCAAGTTCGGTCTTTGTAAATTTTATGGAAGAAATGCACCACCTGTGGGCAACGCTGCACTAAATCTATAGGTTAAGAAACCTATTTTCCATCAATGTAAAAAGCCTGGCCGCTATTTGAGGCACCCGGGCGAAGAGGACCGCCAGGGGACATGTGCAAACCAACCGACTCCAAATGCCCCCCACTAAGGTGGTCCTTGAATCTCAAGAAAACACTCAAAAATGCAGAACAACTCTTAAGATGTTTCAAGTGATTCCTTCGAAAGCTATGGGACTCCAGAAGAACACAAGTGGGCGACAAACGGTTACCATGCTCGGCTTTCACGCGGAGGTCCGAGGTTCGATTCCTGGAAGCAGAAGCTCCTTTCGTTTGTTTCTTCGACTCGGCATTCTCGTGAGTTCAAGAACCTCGTCGTCCGATCAAGGCTCTTGATCGGACGACAAAGAACGGCGACAACTCGTCGTCCGATCGTTGTTTGTTGTCGTCGGTCTTGGCGAGTCGACTTCGGACGCGGGAGCCGTCGTACGAGGCCGGTCAAAAGCAACTCGAGAGTTTAGCGTGGTATCTCACATAAGTGCAATGTTGCCAACCTCCACAATCGTTTCTTCCCTTAATTTTATCAAAAACTTGCCTACATTTCGCTAGATTTTCAGAAAATGTGTTAATTTGTGTCAGTATTGGGGTTGTCATTATGGAGTAGCTTAAGAACCGATTCCTGTAGTTGGGTGGCATTTAAAGGTTACATTTGCTTCGTTAATACCTTTTTGCATAATTAAAGACTTTGAGCTTCTGTGGCCCCCCAAAATGGCTGTTGTTCCCATTGGAGATTTTCTCTCGCCCGAACAATATACAAAGAAGCGTTTTTCCACTCGTTTGGCACGATGAGGAAAAAGGAACATGTCTCCAAAGCCCTCTGAAACCCATTAAAAAACAATCCCTAGATTTGAACAAATTTCCCTTTGTCCCTAAACAATAACAGACATCCCTAGATCTAAGTAAAAATCTTTAAGGTTGGCAGCACTGCGTAGGTACAACGTGGAAATATGGAGGAACGCGTGCATTTCGCCCGTGTTCGATGGGGACGTTGCCATGAAAAAGACAACCGGCCTTGCGTTGCTCAGACCTCGGACCGATTCGCATATCACCGGGATGAATTGTAACACAATGTTTTTGTGCTTTTGTTCACCATTGGAGTCCTTGAGGTGTGCAGTGAAGTGTTTGTGATGTATTTGGATACACAGTTTAGCTGCGGAAATTGCGTGAGTCGTGCTTGGCAGTCTGTAATCGTGGTGTTGCTTCGTTCGAACGACCGTAGGCTTGCTTTGGTTACATGGCGCACCGGAGAACTTGTAGTTCCCGTGGCTTGCTAGACGATGCTTTGCCGTTTCCTACATAGAGTTATTACAGTAAACGCTAGAGGCTCAGGTGGCGCTAGTATGCTGTTGCATTTTGAAGCAGACAGCAAGCAGTCAGAAATGGACTTCCGCCGATGCATTTCTACGGGAAAAAGCGAGTGCATTGTTTCTCTGCGCTCGATTAATAAGAGCAAGTATCAGGAATAATTTTTACGTACTAGGCACATTGGAACATTTCTCAGTCACGCAGGCGACATAAATGGTCAGTTAGAGCATTTTTATTTGAAATTCGTGGCATGAAAAATAATGTTAAAACCGCTTCGTACGTGTATTTATGTGCACTGTCAAACACTGTTAGTACGAGCACGCCGTCGATGCTTTCCAACATGGGGGATATATGTGCCAAACGAACGAAGGACATGTGGCAAACCAAGCGAGATGGCAAGAACTATGCAGTAACACTGGATAAGTAACTCATTGTGCACGCAGACGATCAAAATAAATTGAAAGCTACGTAATATAGTCCGATTTGCAATAAGTCCTGCTTTATTCTTTCTGCTCATGAATATGTGCGAAGATGCTTGTTCTGGGTTAAAATCACCACCCGCACGCTCCAAATCTTTGATAATAGGGAGGGCCAGAGAACAGGTGCGCGATAAAAACTGCCCGACATAGGAAATAATAAAAACACACACCTTTCGTAGCTCACATGCTTTATTTTTTGCGTTTGATTGTTTCTTTAACCGATCACAAAAATGCACGACGGAGTCATTTTCATCCACCGAAATGCTAGCAAACCTTGAACACACTCTACATTCCTTTCAATCGTTAGTTTGCTTAGAATCGTCGCTCGTTTTCACATACCTTCCTTGAAAAAGAGGTTTGGGCCTGAAATAGAGCAAAGTTTAACGTTGTTCAGTGGTAAAGGAAAATGCTGTAACTAAAGCAGTTACACTTTCACAATACCAATAAAGGTACTTACTATCCGGTACACCTGAAATGACAAAAGTTATTTATGTTATTTTCCGGCAAAGAGACAAAATTCACGCGCATTTTCTCATAGGAATACACAGGGAGGCTGGAAAGGTAGACTACATGCTGTCTGCTTCAATTTGCAACTGGAAGTCCCGTAGACACTAGCGCCAGCTGAGCCTCTAGCATTTATTGTAATAACTTTATGGTTTCCTGCATTGTTTCGGTGGAGGCATGTGCTTTCACGGAGCACAATTGTTGCAGTTGGTATGAAATCGGCCGGTCTGCCTCACGTTTTGTTGGCACCATTTTTTGCATACCCGGCGCACCTCGCACTCCGGTTCGTGGCTAGGTGTATGAAGGCGTCGAGGACTGGATTGAATAATATGAGAGTGTCGTGTCCCAGACCTGTTGTTTTTTTTTAAGTGGAATATTTCTTCCTTTAGTCCGTTGCAACCTAAGAACGAAGGGCGAGGGTAAGACGGGCCGGGGAGGAGGAAGCAGGCGGAACGCTAAAGAGAGCAGGAGGTTTCCCCCTCTTTTCTCCAGCGTTCCGTCTGTTTCCTCCTCCCCGGGCCGTCTTACCCTCGCCCTTCGTTCTTAGGTTGCAACAGACTATAGAATACAGCTGTGATGCTGCTTTCCTCAAAGTATTGAAGGACTTTCATCAATAGTGTTGCAAAGTGCTCAGTTGGGCTACAGACCCAAGCACTTGGAATGCTTTTGAAGTAAAAAACAGGAAAAAAGATTCCCCAAGTCCCGTACGCTTCGCGACAGTGCCACGCGGTGGACGCATTGCTCGGCAAATTTTCAAAATGTGTCAAAAATCTTGTTTTGAGAGAGAGCTACGCGTATTTTCCACTCGGAATCGAAATTTCATCTTTTTGTGTCAACGACGGTGCCAAATACATTTTAATTTTTTCTCTTTCCCCATGCTTTGTTTGTTCATTGGGCGACCGTTTGTTTAATATTTCTGTTAACGCATACGTTTCTTTTTGCATTTCTCCTTTCAGATTGACGCAAGAGAACCGCCCGACGGCAGCCATGATCGCATTACCTTATAATGGGTCTTTGAACATGCAACTACTCTAGGAAACTTTTGGGACGGCAAATATACATTCTAGTCATACCTGTCGCTCAAGAGCTGAAGAAAAACACTATGACATAGGCACACTCAACTCGGAAAAGATTTTTTCTTTAAAAAAGGAGAAAAGGTTAGCCCAGTGCGTATTTCTGCTGCTTTCTGGCAAGTACTGCGCTAACAATGTCGTCCTCCATTTTTTTTTTTCCCGGGGCAGGTACATTTTATGTCCACGTCCTTTTTAGCGGTTAGGACGGGAAAATAAACTAGTAGACTATTCCTGAAATGGGATGCTCATGGGCTATTGAGTATGTACACCAAATTTTGCTATTTTAGAGGTAATTGCAATAACGAATTTATGAATGTTGATGATTTTGTCTGGCAAGCAGCGAACACTGTTCAAGCGTTCATCATATTTAGTGGACAACTAACCATTTTCAGCGGAAATGTAGCAAGTGGGTGTGACTTGGTAGAGAAATGGATAATTTAAGAAATATTTTTTTATTCGATGGAGCAGAAGCTTACGATATTAGACTTCTGGGTCTCGTAATGTCGAAACGCAGTGTGTGCTGTTTACACGTATCGGGATTTGCGTAGCGATCTTGTACAATCTCTTTAACAATTATAATGACCTTTTTTGACCTTGTTGACTTCTGTTTTATTTCTATTGAGACACGTTTTATCAGATGGGATTAAATCCGAGTGACCGTAATTGGCAGTAAGCGTCAATTTTTGACGAGGTCGACTTGAAATGTCCCTAAATGACTAAGGGTCGGTTGCACCAACGTCGCTTACCTTAACCTAAAGTGGCTTTTTCCTAATGCCCTAAGCCGAGCCCGGATAAGCACGGGTTTAAATTCCGGTTGCACCAACGTTGATCCCACTTTACAGACGCGCCCCTATACTTCGTGTCAGCTTCCGTCCGAGCGCAGCCAAAGCTATGTGTGGCCAGAGCCAATCACACGCCGGCAATAAGTCACGCAATCTCGCCTCTGCTTTTGTATCAGTCCGCTGCGCCGCTGGTCGTCCACGCCGCTTGCGCTCGCCGAGTATTTCGTCTGCTACGGATGTTTCAACGGTATCGTCTGCTACAGGTTAAAAAAGTGCCCTTTCACCTTCTGAAACTTAGTCACAGGGGATTTCAGTACGTAGGCTGGCCGCTGGCGTCTGTGTCCGAGCTTTCCAGCTGTTCGGCATTTCGGCATAGTTTCGAAATGTAAGTACACATTGCAAGGTGCCCGATGACTTGGCCGTTTATGTTTCATTGTGTTGTCTGCATATACCAGGGCTCCAAACGCAGTCATTTCCGCCAGCTTCTCGGCGTTCAGTGGGATCGGCAGGTAAAGGGGTGCCCTGATTTTGCCGCATATAGGTGAATTGTAGTGGCCCGGACGCTTTTCTCGTTTACAACGCATTCGCAGTATGACGTGGCCAAAGTCTCCTGCCGAATTTGAAAGTAGACATTTGCGAAAGGACGTTTGGAGCGACTCGGGGAGGAAAGCAGCGAAGCGCATGATGCGGCCATTCTGGGAAAGAAATTACACAGAAAAACCGAGCGCAGCGGCCGTGTTTTGCCAGCGGATGTACGTGTTTTCACCAAACCACATGGATTTTCATATACTACAATAAAAACATAAACTTCAGATATTTAATTCTTTTAGTTGCAAATCATTATCAGCAGTACACATCTGGAATATTGTGCAATGTTTACGCACAAAACAGTTATTTAAAGAACTTTTGCGGACTACTTTGTGGTGCGTAGGAATGCTCTTCTCGAAGTTGCGAACCGCTCAGCCTTTGGCTGCGCTCGGACGGAAGCTGAAACGAAGTATAGCTAAACGCTGGATTTGCACAGGGAATGTGGGGACAAACAGAGTGAACTAGGAAACGCTCAGAGGGATGAATGCGATTGGCGGAGCGGAATCATGTGATGTAAACAAAAAAAAACGGCCGTAGTGGTTGTCGTTGCCGTCTGCTTTTCGCTGTATTTTTTTCGGTGAGTAGCGAATTAAAGGTCTCCAAATTCAAACATTTTTTCGCTTAACTTAGAAACAGGAGTCAAAGCTTCAAATAAACATTAATGCTCTTCACATCTGTGATTGTGTGTTTAATATCGGTTGATAACAGAATATTTTGATAAGTAGTTGTCGTGCTCACATTTTGAGATAAAGGAGCCATCGGGGGCCTCAAATCTCGCCAAGCGCGAGAAGGACGCTCTACCTGATACATTGCTGAAGACAAAACATTATCGAGAATAAGTAGGCAGGTAAGATGACTACTAAAATCAAGTCATGCCTGAGACCGATGAAGTTCAAAAGAGTGATGAACTCTCCACAGCAGCTCCAAAAATGCCCGGAAATTGTCGAATAGAAGTCGTTGAGAGATCAGGTCGCAAGGTCCTTGCATCGACCGTACTCGTTGCTATCGGCAAGGTGACAGACCTGCACTGTACTGTCGTTGAACATCCGCTGCAGCCTCAAACGGACTTCAGTTTCTTCACACTGTCGAATTCAGAAAAGAACAAAAAGTGAAATTTTTACTCAATGTGTCCCTCCGCAGGCACAGATTACTTGTCAACTTTATAGATGCTCCAGTACACCAATATCCTGAAAACGGCACCCACGGTGAGTGGTTTGAGCGCCCTTGGGATCCCCAAACCAATAACTCGAACCCGAGTCGTTTGGTTAGCATATAATCGAAAGAATACACAAAATAATTACACCAGGCTTTTTCCTGTAACCTCTTTATGGCCTTGACTGCATTTATTGCAAATTGCAAAAGGGTGAGAAGCGGAAGCTAGGCTGTCGGCATACTGGAAACAAGCTAAAACATTCATAATCCGGAAAATTTTGAGCTATCTCGGTCACTGAAGCTCTTGGATTATGAACTTGAAAATCTACAATGGATGTCATGTCGAAAGGAGGCTTGAGCTAGTCGAAATAAAGTTCTTGTTGCTCGTTCTTCTGCCTTTATACATAAAAGACCGCCCTTATCAAAAGCATCATGCTGTTTTTTTTTTATTTTCATATTTGTCTTTCTACCTGTTTGTCTTTATATGTGAATTAGGAACTTCTAAGTTACCATTTCATAAACACACATTTGTTGAACTATGGAAATATGTACTTATCTAGTGTATATGTTAATAATTGAAGAGAATCAATTGTCCATAGAAGTTAAAGACACTTATATCAACAATTACAACTGTAAGCTTCCTTTGATGGTTTGTCCCATTGCACACTTTTGCAGTGAGTTATAGGAACTACATAATTAAAAGTCTACTTATCAGGCTACTTTCTTGATAACTCTGAAGGTCTTGCTTACAACATATTGCTTGGTAGGTCATAATCACCCACTACATTGAAATATAAGCTAACAACCCCACAACACTTTCTTCAACACAGTTGTTTTGTTTAACAGCTATCGTTGAATAGCTTCATGAATTTATTTTTCCACGGCCCTGGCTAGCTGTCTCTAAGCTTTGTTCACTTTACTTTTACCATGAGTAGCAAGTCTTGCACAAAATGCAGCTTGTACAAATTCAGTATAGTCCCATTATGGGAAAAGGCAATCCAGGCTAAGCCACCAAATATCAGAAACACGTCTAAGCATAGCGAGATATCACCTAGTGAAACTTTAATGTGCTTAATGTCAGTGTTGCATTTGTAATAAGAATTGAAGTACCCTTATGTCTGTCTTTTCAATAAATTTTACATGATTTAGTTTTTTAAGCGTCTGTATGTTTGCACCGCGTGTAGCACGATTGCCCTGGGTGCAGAATCCCTGCCACAAAAGCCCCGTGCCACTCGCCGCGCGTTTCAGGAACCCCGCACTCAATGGCCCCGTTCTATTTGACCCACATGCTAAAATTCCCGCATTTATTTGCCCCCATGCTAAAATCCCCGCATTCAATGACCCCGGTTCTATTTGCCCCCGTGGTTGTTGCATACGCTTCTGTGGTGGTTTTATCTGTGCCCCCCCCCCCCCCCCCATGATGGCGGTTTGACGTTCCCATTGTGTGGTTGGTGTCGTATACAAGGTCCCGCTAAGTTGCAAAAGAGCGGATATCGCCAAGCTGGCCGATGTAATAATGACAGGTCACTCCAGTCGACCGCTGAAGTCACTTGCTTCTACCTTGTGCTGGTTGCAAATGTCAGCCCAAATTCAACAACATCAGCCTCATCGGGAGGGGCACAGAGAAAACCACCAGGGAATTATTGGAAGCGTAAGCAATAATAAAAGAGGAACAAGGTGCATGTGTCAGCCAAACATCGTCTTTTCTAGGCAAAAAAGAAATTGTTTATCTTGGCACGGGCTGAAGTGATAGTGCGGTTTACTTCGTTGTTGTTTTTTGAATAAATGTTTAGTAGTGATTCCAATGCTTTCGTCGTTAGCATCTTCCCTTTGTCCTTGTCTGTATTTCTGCGTGCGGTTTATTTCCGATTACCTATTTAAAGGGACAATGAAGGGAATTTCGGATATTTTTTTGGCGATTGAACTGGGTTCCCGGCACGCCTCAGCCCACGTTGCCCAAATTCCAGCCAAAACCGGCGCTTGTGTGCGGCGCAAATCAGTTAAACAGTCACCGTAATAATCGTACCAGGATCGATCGAGGCGACGCCCCGAGCGTTGCGGGAGAAACCAGCAGAAGCAAAGGTCACGTGACCTTGCGGGGCCTGGAAGCGTGACGTCACAAGAGACGTGTCAGCGATTGGTCGAAACGAGAAACGTGCTCTCGGTCACGCTTTGGTTTGTGGTCTTTATCAACTGTTCTAATTCCACTTGAATAACCACGAAAACTATAAGTAGAACCGAAAACGATAACTAAACCGTAAATAAAACACCATAATTATTTTTCTCTTTGCTACACTGCACGCGAAAGGTGCAACGAGAAACTATGGGCAAACAAAATATACAAAAAATAAAGAACACAGCGCGGAGCACGCGGGAGTTTTTTGGTTCTGGTTTCAGATGTCGGTGCCGTGTTTACTTTAGGAACACGGCACTCGATTGATTCTGCAAAGCGGTAGAAGGATGTTCAAACGGTCGACTGAAGACCCGTGATCGTTCGGGCGACGCTAGTTTTCACCTGCTCCCAAGCGATGAAGCATTGCGAAGTCTCTGATTGAACAGCGTTGTCTTGCGCAGAGGTCTCGGCGATGGCGTCAGTGTTTGTTCGCTGCATTTTCGGTCAGGAGACTTTGAACAGAACCTTCAGGTTAGCCGGAGTCTGGGCGTAGGTGTGGGGCGAATTACTCTGGGTCGGCGGCAATTCTGGGGCGTCCTCGTAAAGAGGAATTCCAAAGTTCCGTGTCCTTAGGACCATCTCCCGTTCTGTTGGTGTCAGATCACTCTACGGGAGCCCGAATTCGCTCGCGAGAGCGGCATTGCCGTCCATGTTGGTCCGACGGGTCCGACCTTTGGTTGGTAGGGAGGCTCAAGTGAGGGTGGGTGCAACTGATAGGTCGGCGATCACGGGACATGGACGCCATTTAATTGCTAAATTTTGCTGGGAGTCTATGGGGCAAAGGGTCGTTTTCTTTCCTAACTCGGGTCATAAAGGCCCATTAAGGTGCTTGAATAATTTACACAAGGTATACATGATTACTTTTCCATAGCCACCAGTTTTGTTGCGATAGGTTAAG